GCGAGCAGCCATCATCATCATTTTTCTTCCAATATATGCCTAAACACTGCAAGTTACACTCTCCGTGTCTGAGCGAGCAGCCATCATCATCATTTCTTCTTCATCATCATCTTCACCTTCATCATCATCATCATCATCATCATCATCCGTGTCTGAGCGAGGAGCAGACATCATCATCATTTCTTCATCATCATCATCATCATCATCATCCGTGTCTGAGCGAGCAGCCATCATCATCATTTCTTCTTCATCAGTTTTTCATCATCATCATCATCATCCGTGTCTGAGCGAGCAGCCATCATCATCATCATCATCATCATCATCATCATCATCATCATCATCATCATCATCCGTGTCTGAGCGAGCAGCCATCATCATCATTTCTTCCAATGTATGCCTAAACACTGCAAGTCGCACTCGCCGTGTCTGAGCGAGCAGCCATCATCGTCATTTCTGCATCGTCATCTTCGTCATCATCATCATCATCATCATCATCATCATCACCTTTTTTCACCGACGTTCTAATAAATAGCAAGGGAACGCCTTGTCGTTACCGTCTGCCCTGATAACGTCGCACCTACACATGCGTGTATCGGACCGGCCTTATGGTTTGTATGCATGAAGAGGATTAGGGTGCGTTCTATTCGGCGGAAGACGTGTAGGGCGAATCATGTCACGCCCACATCTGAGTGTGATGAATGCCGCTACGTGCGTCCGCATGTTGTGTGTATCGGACCGGACTTATAGCTTGTATACGTTCACCGTTGAGGGGTTTCCAGCGGTTGCGTCGAGGCGGGTGTGGTGCCCTAAAATTTAACGACGAGTAATTTACGAGGAGGACAAAAAAAAAAAAAAAAAAACGTTGCCAGTCAGTGGCCGGAAATTTCGTTAATTAGCCGATCTTTTTCTAGGCTACTTGGCTCGCTGGGCCGTGCAGCACGGCCGTGCGACTCGGGCAAGTTGCCCGGGGGTCACTTGCACGGGCCACCTCGTGCAGACAAAAATCAGCTCCCTTTTTTTTTTTTTTTTTTTTTTTTGCGGGGAGGTTTTCTGAGCATGGCTATATAGGAGCCGAAATCCAGGCTTCTTTCTTTTTTTCGAGCGTTGGCTGTCCAGGGGGGGAAAAGGGGGGTAGGAATTGATTTCAAGTGGCTAAAGGGTTTAAAGGGGGGGGGGGGGTGCCGTAGTCTGATTCTGTTGTTTTCTCTTTTATCTTCGGTTCCGGGAGGAATGCTAACGTCACCCTCAGCCAGCCAAAAGTCGTTTGTATTATTGTCAATTCAATTCTACAGAACGTTTTTTTTCCTGGATTTTTTTTTTAAGGGGGGTGGGGGGGGGGGGGGGGGGGTGCTGGGGCTGCCCGGATCCCCCTGTCCAGAGTTGATATTCGACTGGACACCCGTACATGTACCCGGACACAACCTGGCTCCGGGTACATGTACGGGTGTCCGGTACATGTACTCGGACAAACAGCCTAGCGATCTCTCTAGTCCGAATGATCGACAAGAAAGATGCTCTCACCCGAGCATAACCCCCCCCACCCTCATCATGAATGTATACATTTCTTTTTTGTTTTTTTTTTGGTTAAGAAAACAGATCTCGATGCCCCTCAGCAGTCGAGATGTGTTTTCTCCAAAAAAAAAAAGAAAAAAAGTACAAATTCATGGTGAGGGTGGGAGGGGTTATGTTCGGATGAGCATCTCTCTAGTCCAGGGAATTTTCTTGTCGCTGCATGACACCATATTTACGTAATTTGATCATCATGGGGAACCGCATGGGCGGTCGATGCAGTGATGATGAGGGTGGGTTTGTTGCGTCGATTCATCATGGGCAACCGCATCTGTAATCCGAATACCAGACTCGAACACACAGCCAACGGCATGGCCGGTCGATGGAGTGATGATGAGGGTGGGCTGTAAAAGGAAAAAAAAAACAAAACAAGGGGTTGTGAAAGAAAAAAAAAGAAAAAAAAAAGGGGTTGTATTCGGGTGAAGACGGTAGAGATGTTCACCAGAACAAGGGAAAATTGAAAAACGAAAGGCACACTTTGTTCGGTTTTCGCGTCGTGGAAAATGTGGGAAGCCAACTGATAGAAATTTTAATACCACTTTTTTTTAATCCACGTGGCGCTGACATGTTCTTGTTTTTGTCATGCACGGCAACCTCTATGTCGTAGACGCTGCCACGTGGCAATGTCTACGTTGTAGACACTGCCACGTGGCAGTCCCGGGTGCACTCAACGGATGATCATGGCTGGTGATTGCATACGTGCTCGTCTGAGGATAGGCCGTGGGAAACCAGCAAGATCATCGCCCTCCGGGGTGCCACGTCAGCTGCGTATATCATGGACTGACACGTGGCAGCGTTGCTGGCAATTCTGACGTCTGACATGGCAGGCTGGGGCACCATGACGTTCGTTTCAGACGGCCCCAGAGCGCTACCAATAGCGCGGGTAAATCCGCTATATATTTAAAACGATTTTTTTCGTGATGTAAAGCGAAAATTATTCCAAAAGTACATACATTGAGGCTGCCGTGTCACAACTGGGATGCCGCTGTGTGACATCAACAGCATGATCGTGCGCCAGGCTGCCACGTCAGCTGCGTATATCCTGACGTGGCACATGGCAGCGTTACTGGCGCACGATAATTCCCACGTGGCAGCTTGGGGGGGGGAGCTGAAAATTATTTTAACGTGCCAGCTTGGGGGGGAGAGGGGGGGGCACGATAATGCTCGTCGTTTTAGATGTGGCCGCAAGCTGCCGCGTCACGACTGGGATGCCGCTCGCTGTGTGACTCTAACAACTTGATTTTGCCCCAGCCTGCCACGTCAGCTGCGTTTATCCTGCGATGCCACGTGGCCAGCGTTGCTGGCAATTGTGAAGTGGCAGCCTGGAGCACGGTAATTTCGGTTTCCGTCGGTTTCCGACGGCCCCAGGCTGCCGCGTCAGACTTGCGATCCCACTTTGTGCCACCGGCATTATCGTGCTCCAGACTGCCACGTCAGCTGCTTTTATGTTACGATGCCACGTGGCAGCGTTGCTGCGTTGCTGGCAGTTCTGACGTGGCATGTTAATGTCGTTTTCAGACCGCCCCAGGCTGTCACGGCAGGATTGGGATCCCGTTGGGTGACACCGGTAACGTGATCATGACCCGGGCTGCCGGTGGGGAAAGAACGGGATTCGAACCCGCGGGGTCTGAAAACGACATTAACTCTGTCATGCCAAAACTCGCGGTCTGAAAACGACATTAACTCTGTCATGCCAAAACTCGCGGTCTGAAAACGACATTAGCATGCCGCGTCACAATAGCTTGGTTAACAGTTTTGGCATGACAGAGCAGCAAGCACTCTTAACCAAGCTATTGTGCCACGTTATCAGCTGCTCAGGTCAGCGACTTCTGCCACGCATGTCAGAATTGTAAGCCACTTATGCTTCTTCGTCATCAACTACCTGACCGACCTCCCGGGCTCGGGGGGGGGGAGGGTGGGGCGGGGAGAGGAAGGATGGGATTCGAACCCACGAATTTTGATGTGACAGGCCAGCAGCACTCTAATTAGCTGAGAGCTATTTTGCTACTACAGAAGCTGCTGAGGTCAGTGACTTCTGCCACGTCATTACCTATCCCGACCGACCTTTGATTGACCTGACAGTAAGTATCTGATCTGGCACGATTGCGGCTGGGGCGCTGCCATGTCAGCGATGTCAGCGAGTTGGATATGCCCTCTCACTTCTGCCAGGTCATCAATTGGGCAGTGCGGTGATTGTCGCAGCAGCAGGCTTCTGCTGGGGTGATTGCCGCGTCAGCACTGGTATTCAGTTGATTGGCTGCTCGATTTCTTTTTCTGTTTTTGGCTGATCAGTTTTTAATTGCCACGTCAGCACTGGTGTTCAGTTGATTGGCTGATCGTTTCTTTTTTTTTTTTTTTTTGGCTGATCGGTTTTTAATTGCCACGTCAGCGCGCTTCAAATGGCGCGATCGCCACATCAGCACTGGTGGTGGTATTCAGACGATTGGCTGATCGCTTTTTTTTTGGTTGGTCGATTTTGTATTGCCACGTTGTGGGGCTTCTGCTGGCACGATCGCCACGTCAGCATCATGATATGGAAGCTCGCGGGGTGATTACCGTATCGAGTCCGTCATTGGCTGATTATTTGTTGTTCATTGCTCGTTTTTTTTTTTTCCGTCTTTTTTTCCCCTCTGTTCTTAATTTCTTCGTTCATGTAATATGGCCCTTTCCGGTCTTTTCCACATTTATAGAGTGGTATGGCGAGGCTCAACGAGGACACACGTGGTGGGTTCTGCATGCAGCATCCTTTGCAACATAACACGACGTCACGTACGTGCATGGACATCGTACACGACGTCACGTACGTGCACGAGGAAGAAGGTATGGAAACTGGGCTACACTGCCACGTGGGCGGACGAGGTATCACACAGCCAGAGGTTGGAAGAGAGGCGTAGCATGGATAACGACACCGTGGAGAGAGGTGCCCTCATCGTTACAGGACCCAAAAAAAAAAGAAGAAAAAAAAAACCAACAACAACACCAATCCGTACTTGTTGGAATGGCAGTGGCCGTACGGAAACTACCAGTATGCCGCCACTGAAATCCACAGGCCTTTCTAAAAAAAAAAAGAAAAAAAAAGAAATCCACTGGCCGACAAACTATTCCTAACGATTTGTGGTACCGGTACCACAAAAACTTTCCCGTTTGGTAATTGAAATTGCAAATTTAAAGGGGGGGGAAAAAAACACTTTACCGTTACTGGTACTCACAAGAAGCAGCTTCGGATATTTCAGGCGCTCAGGGGGCGCGTCCTTTCGGGAAATCAGCGCCGGGTGTACTGGTGGTTTAAGGATGATCATTTGTTGTACAAGGACTAATGTTTTTTTCAACTTTTTTGTTTGTTTGTTTGTTTGTTTGCTTATTTTGTTGATTTTATTTCTGTTACTCGGATCCTTTGGCACAGAGGCACTGCGAACATGGATTTTGAAAGTACAATTAATCAAAATTTTGCGATGCGAGATGGGGACCATTGCATCTCGCCTGGTACGTTGTTAACCTTTTGGTCTTTTTAAAAATAAAATGATTAGTTATTGAAATATTCTCTGTGTGTATACGTAAATTATGTAAATACTAAGAGTAAATACTAAATATGGTTAGTATGCTGCTTAAGAGATCCTTTTGCATGGGTCCTGGGGACCATCTCACGCAAGTGTGTACATGCCATGCATCGTACTCCCACACACAATGAACAGTAGTCTGACAATAGACAAAGATAGAGAAGATGAGAACCGAGTTTCACAGTTTATATTATCAGAAATATGAATCCAAAGTGTTTCAAAGTTCCCCTGAGTCCAGCGCTCATCAGCGCAACACCAATATCTTGCGAAATCATCAATATGCCTTCCAGTGAATCAGTGCTACCCCTGCAGATAGTCTCCAAGTCATCAATGTGGTCACCACTCATCAGCGCCACCTCTGCAGGTCACATCCAACTCAGGTAAGTATCTTCCATAGCCAAMCTTDRATRAACRCYCTCAGCCTCAATCCCTTCCTCCTATGATGCATACACACTCTTCAATACTCATGAGGATCTACTCTGGATACTACTCATTGCTACATACTAACCCTCTACTACTAATGCTAACTCGCTGGGCAGCTATGGCTGCATCACTTCCAGCGTACAGGCATCTTCCTCCCTCCAGCGCGTCTTCTCCTCYWGMGCTGCTCCTCCTGACTCAGYGCACAAGTGCACCRGCACTTCCACGCATTGCAGCCASTGGAGATCTGGCGAGGAATGAGGCAGGCAKCTCTTTTTATAATGCTGGCCACTCCTCGCTGGGTCTGCATTGGCTCAATTCAGCCTCTCCCTTTGTCCCAGACCCTGCATTGCATGTGTCCCAGTACAGTCCCAATGAGATTCAACTGCTGCTGAGGGGAGGAGAGAGAAGAGAGAGAGAGGACGGGTTGGGGCGGCCGTTAAAGCGGAAGCCGAATCAGCCCGCCCCTCCGGTCCAAATTCATTCGAGGCCCGGGGGGGGGGGTACGAGAAATGTGGTAGGTACTGGTGGTTGGGGGTACGAGAAATGTGGTCGGTACTGGTGGTTTAAGTCCACCTTTGGTTGGTTTTCCCCAAGGAGAAATGGACCTTCGGCCGCCTTTTGTACGTCCTCCTCCATTCTCTTTACCTTTTTATTAACACTTGATAGCCTGCAACTAACTCAGCTTCCACCCCTCGATGGAGGGAGGCTGATACCGTGATACTGTGATCGCATCCACTGGTCGATTTGCTGGGAACTCCAATGAATCTTGGTCCTCCAAATTCTTGAAGTCAGCACACTGAAGATGGCTCTAAGGAATGATTCAAATTTGGATCTTCGTTGTAACATTTGAGCGCCTGGTTTTGTCTTTTGTGACGAAGTGGTTTTGTCTGTCGTGTTTACCATTAGGCGAGAGTGTGGCCTTTGCCTGCCTACCTTCTTCCCCCGAAGACAATGTATAGTCAGTATAGCTGTATCTAGACTGAAAGATGCCTCAAATACAGCTATAATGACCGTACGTTGTCTTCGGGAGAAGAAGGTAGGCGGCTCCTCCCGCCAGGGCAGTGCTGCACCATCCCTGAACCCATTAGCGAGCCTGAAGGTTCGACAAGCCTGGCTCGGATATAGTGGTGGTTTTAACTATTGGCAGGTAGGTGAGAGTGTGGCCTTGGCTTTTGCCTAGACGGCTCCTCCTGCCAGCTTAGATGGCTCCTCCTGCCAGGGCCGTACCGCACAGTGATAACAATCGGGACTCCTGGGACTCAGGACTCCGGGCTCTGGGCGCGTTGGCAGTGCTGCCAGCACGCCCAAGAGTGTGAGGGTGCATTCTGTTTTACAGGAGACAGTAGTCATATTCCAGTGGGGCCTGCCCCTTGTCCTGGCCTGTAATCACATCTCAGAATCCAGCTGATATCAATGGTCCGGTTATTGTGCAAAGACCCACTCTATCCCCCCCTCCCCCCCCGCCCCAATCCCAATGCCTTTCTCATCATGATTGTATTGATCAGGGAATGATAGGTTGTTGTATTCGTAATTAAAGGGTGTCGTTGTCGGGCGAACCCTCCCTCTCTCTACCCCCCTCTGTTCGAGGGGCCTCCGACCCGGTCTCTCTCCTCCCCCCTATTTGTGGACGGTTGGGTAGGCGAGGATTCGTACCTGCCCGGGGGCCAGTGCGACTTTATGGAACCAGTCGCCCTCTTCCCCCCCTTTTCCTCCCTACTGGGTTCTCCTCCTCCCCTCCCCCGCTGATAGTCGGGACGCTACCTCAAACTGGTGTTCCCAGCCGATCGTGGATTGCAACTTGGCACGCCGAAGCTTTTAATAAAAAAAAACTCCGGGGATACTCGAAATTAGGGAAGGAGCCCGAAGTCAGCAATTTCTGGACCGATCGTGACGAGCAAAGGACCCGCGGGTAAGACTGACGTCAGGGAGTTTCGAACGGTGGACAAATACACGACTAGTGCTGAAAAAGCCAGAGTCAGCTCAGGCGCCGGGAAGCGGTGAGAATCTTCGAAGCCAGCGGTTTGTGTCCAACTGTAACAAGCGATGAGCTCCCAAAACTTGAAATCATAAATCTTTGACCAATTGCCACAGTCAGCCAGGAACTCGTAACCAGCGATTGCGGACTGACTGTCACGAGCAAGCAAGGACCGGTGAGAAACTTCGAAGCCAGCGATTTGTGTCTGACCGTAACAAGTAATGCTCCCAAAACTTGAAATCAGAAATATTCGACCAATTGCCACAGTCGGCCAGGAAAAAAAACTCGAAACCAGCGATTGCGGACTGACTGTCACGAGCAAGCAACGGCGGGTGACAAACTTCGAAGCCCAGTGATTTGTGTCCGACCGTAACAAGTAATGCTCCCAAAACTTGGAACCAGAAATATTCTACCAATTGCCACAGTCAGCCAAGAAAGAAAAAAAACTCGAAACCAGCGATTGCGGACTGACTGTCACGAGTAAGCAAAGACCGGTGAGAAACTTCGAAGCCCAGCAAGTAATGCTCCCAAAACTTGAAATCAGAAGTATTCGACCAATTGCTACAGTCAGCCAGGAGAGAGAAAAAACTCGAAACCAGCGATTGCGGACTGACTGTCTCGAGCAAGCACCCACTGAGAGAACTCTAAGCCAGAGAGCTTCTACCTACACCATCAGTCAGCGAGGACCGGAAAAGGAACTCGAAACCAACACTTCAGCGTCGACAGTAAAAACCAGAGAGTTTTGACCAACGCGTTCGTCCGCGTGGTCGGGAAATCATCAGTTTTGGACCCAAGGCAAGGAGCAAGAGACCGAAGAGAACTCGAAGCCCGCAACTTGGGACTGACTCATGACTAGCAAGAATTTGCGATGTTGCCGACGTTTCCTAGAGGTTGCGGGGGTGTTCCCCCTCGGGTACCTCTTTGCACCCTCCCCTTCTTCCAGCCTCCTCTCTCTCCCCTTCTCTTTCTCACCTTTTTCGGCCGCTACTTTCCTCTCGCCCGACCCTACTCCCCTCGTTCGAGCATGAGCCCCGCCAACGTACGAACTTTGAAGCAGGTGAGCTCAGCTGACTTACCGCTTTTGAGGATCGGAGCTCGGAGCAGGGGCAATCCCGCGAAGAATCAGAAGGCGGCGCCGGGACGCACCCATGGAGCATCGCAAAGAGGACGGCTATCGCTCTAGGCAGCCCGGATCGGACTGAGACGAGCACTCTGCTGTTCCTCTGTGATGGAAACGGCGTCGGACGAGGTCATAGACCGTCCCGCAGCTACCCTCGGCAGTGACGAAGGCGGCTCAGGGTCCCAGCCGCCCTCGCATCTGTTGACGACGAAGCCAGAGTGAGGAGCACCGGTCGGAGTCGAAAGCTGATTGTCATCTGTCCGAGCCCATGCCGCCGGGGGCGACCTCAAAACTTGGGCCCCCCTCGTGGCCGCGACTCCCCCTTCCTCGTTCTTTCACTCTCTCCCTCTCTCTCTCCTTCCCTCTCTAAGGCTCGCCTTCTCTTCACTCTCTTGTAAACTTGCCGGGTGACCGATTGGCCGGAAATGGTCCGGGCGCCTTGCGCTGTGGCGGCTAGTGCCGCCCCTCCCTACTCCACTCCCGGTTCCCGTTGGTCCCCGAGCTCGCTACCGAGCGCAGAGTCTCCCGCCCGCGCTGCCGTACTCCTCCCTCTCTATCTTTCTCCCTCTCCCTCTCCTCTTCCCTCGTCAGCGGATATACTAAAGCTCTCTCTAGTGCGCCCCGATCCGAGTATTCCCTTACTCGCCCCGTCCTCTCTCTCTCTCTTCTCTCTCCTCCCCTCTCGCTTTCTCTCACTCTCTCTCTCTCTCTCCTTCGCCAGCGGGTAGACTAGCGAGCGCCCTCGTGAGTAAAGACCCCCACCCCTTGGAGCCGCCTTCGCGCCCTCCTCCTTTCAGGTCTGGCACCACCCCGCGGGCGACGCTGGTCGACACCACGAGACTCGCGCTCAGACTCCCCAGGTGCCCGAACGCGCACCACTGTCCGTAGGAGCTCTCTCTCCGTCGAACGTGCGCCGTCGCATGACAGCCCTCCGAGCTCCCTCCCAACGCAGGTGTGAGGTACAGTTTATGACTTCGTGCTCGGTCCTCGAGCTCCCTCCCCTCCCGAACGCGAACCCTCGTACGCGGTAGAAGAGCGCCTGGTTCGCTCCGAAAAGGACTCCCCGTACGCGCCCCGAGCTCATCCCCACCCCTTCTTTTATACTTCCCCGTTGCCCCCCTTCGATCCTCACCTCCCCCACTTCCGCCAATCCTCTTTCTTCTCGTCTGACTCTTCTCGCTCCCTCGAAACCTTCGCCTTCCCACCATTTTTCATCAAATATTTGGCAAATTTTCATTTTATTCCCGCTCGCCCTTGTGCGTTCTTTCCCTTACTGTTCTGCGAGCTTCCCCGCCTCTGACCGCCGCCCTTTCAACCCGGGAACATCTTATCAACCAGTCGACTTCGTACTCGGGCTCTTTTCGGGGTAGAGTGCATCCTTCCCCGCTGCTCCCCGCCACAGAGATGATAGCGCTCACCTTTTCCGTAGGATCCGTGCGGTCGATCCCGCTTCTCCGTCAATCTCCCCCCCCTTTCTCCACCCAATCCTCGACCTCTAATCTCTGCGTTTGTTTCCCCGCCCGCTCCTCCTTGCAGCAGTCTTGGGTTCCGCACGGTGCAAACGGTTACCAAGAAGATAGGGCGCGCGCTCCTGCTCGAAAACAGTTATCTTCTGCATCGCTGGCCTTGCAACATCCTTCCCCCGCAGCTCTGACTGGTATCTCGACTCTTCGTCTTCCTCGGGCTCATGAAGCCCACCCCTTTCTCTAGCCGGGCGTAAGCGTGGCGAATCCCTGCTACTCGTCGTCCCCTCTCCTTGGCCAGTCGGTCTCCCCCTTCCTCATCTCCGCGTCCCTTGCAGGATCGCCCCTGCGGTTCTCCTGATCCGCCAGCGGCCTGCCTGCTTCTGACCCCTCAGACCCTTGTCCGCGTCCGACCTTCCTCGAGAGTTTTCCTCCGGGTCACCCCCTTTCTCAGAAGGGGGGGCCCGACGGTTCGTAGCCCGATCCGACGATTTTGGGCCAGGAGCCGTTCGGGCTCCCCTGAGCCCCCGGGACGCTCCAGAGAACAAATAGCATTCTATCATTTCACAGCATCGAGGGCCTCACTGTTTGTATCCATTGCGGCGGTTAGATAGCACGGGGGCCGGCCCGGGAACGCCGCCCCCTCCTTCACAGCTAGTATGGTACCCTCTAAGCCGGAGGCCTGTCCGTTTTTGACCTGATCAAGGCTCCTTCCGATGCACACCGTCCGCCTTGCCTTTTTAGATTCTGACACTGAACAAACTTCAATTTTTTTGGATTAGCTCGAGCCTGCTTGCGACAAAGGTTCGGACCGCCACTCCAGCCAATCGAAGGGTAAGCATGAAGACCAGGATGCCCGCGGACATCCAAAAACACCACATCCACATGCATGCAATCGTCAAAACCAAGCAAAACAGAAAAAAAAGGGAAAAAATGTTTTTTTTAATTTCAAAGAAAAAAGCCCTCGGCAGGTAGACAGCCGCCCGACATCGTGTTTGGGCGAAGATGATGGTCAATAGTCTACTGCAGTCTGCTCCTTAGCTAGGCCTATTAAGACGTTGCGGGGCATTGCTCTCTATGATGACGTCCAGGGTTCTTACATATTTGAAGGGCTAACGAAGTGTATCGGCCCTGTGGCCGAATGATACACATTTTTAACTTCTGTTTTGGTAAATAGATCAGAGTTGAAGGGGCTAAGCCGTTTTCTTTTGTTCTTTTCTCTTTCCTTTTTTGTTCGAATAAATGTAGGCGAACATCAACGATGTCTGTACATGTTTTAGCTGCAGCTCAGAAAAATAATAAAGATTGGTATTATGCGGGGCGGAACTGTCTTTTTTTTTTTTTGTGTGTGTGTTTCTTCAACTTTCTTGTTTGGGACTGTCATGGGATTGTTTTGGGTCTTTAGACTGTCGCATACTGCGCAGCCACACGGGCCTGCAGGGCCCGACCAGTGTTCTCAGCCTAAGAGCCTGAAAACAAGGGCCTACAGGCCCTGTGTCGGTTTAAGCCGGAAAGCCTGAAAACGAGGGCCTACAGGCCCTATGTCGTTTCAGCCTAAAACAGGGCCCTCCAGGCCCTGAGTTTTTTCAGCCTGAAACGGAGGGCCATTTTCAGGCCCTCATAAGATCGACCTGCCCTGAAACTTAGGCACCAGACCAGGGTTTTAGCACAGGCCATTTTTGGCCTGTTTTCAAGACAACCCTTGTTTGAACTTCAATGCCAGGGTCTGGCACGTTTTGGCATTGGCAAGAGCAGCCTCCTGGACGGGCCAGCACTATATAAGACTGGCCCGCCCTACAGGCTGCAGGCGGTAGTTCATAGGAACTTCCCAGGCACTTCACGTGCAGGAGGCAGGAGGCAGTCTTCATGATTCGGCAGCAGCACTCCGGAGGAGCGCTGCAGTAGTAGTAGTGGCGTTAGCTGTAGTCTTCAGCGCTGGGCGTTATTAGGAGCTAGAGTAGCATTGGAGAGAGAGAGATGGTTAGCGGAGGCCAGGGAGACTTACCTGTGGTGCCATAGCTCCAGCTTCGTCTTCGATGTACCTGCAACAAGGCGCCACCTTCACAGGTTAGTACCGGACT